TATTTTGATAATACTTGAAATATCAGCATAATTATATAAATCTTATGCTGATAAAATATTACTTGAGCTGTACTTCTGAAGAAATGAATTTTTTTAAAAAAAGAAAACAGTTTCATAGAGAAGGCAAACTGAATGTCACGTGTCTGTAAAAACTGAGATAGAAAAAGAGTCAAACATAAAACTAGAATTGAAAATAGTGCTGTATCTATATTCAAGGAAATAGTAGAAATCTGGCCAATTTAAGTTTAAGGCAAGCAGACACAAAAGAAACCAGAAGCAATTCTGCACAGTACGAAGGACCTGACTCCCCCTTAGCACAGTGGGAGGGAATGAAGTTTACAACAATCAAATGATTTCCTGAGAAATGTAGTTACCTTAAACCCTCGTTATATTAATCATAACCTTTTCTAAAAAGACATAAAATGTACTTTTTCTTCGGTTGCAAAAAAAAAAAAAAAAATCCTTCTATGCCATAAAAATGGTCAATCCTACTATAACTTCTAGGACATAAAATGCCCTCTAATCCCTAAGACGCAGTGTAAAGTTTTTTTGTCCAGGATGCTAGCAAAACTGCCTCTCTGGAAAACTGAAAAATAAAGCCTTGTTTATTTCAAAAAGGAATAAAATGTAAGCCAAAACCGGTCTTATTAGGTAACTGCCTAGAAAATTGAAGAGCATCTATATATTATTAAAACTAGTAAATTTCAGCTTCAAACTTATTCCAAAAATTAGGAACAACAACAACAAAATACCACTCCCTGTAACGATTCATAATAAAATGTACTCAGGAACATTTTTTTTTGTTTTCAAAATACACAAACTTTTGTAGAGAAAATTATAAAACTTTACTGAAAGTGAATAAATGGAATATAGGGAAACTTAACAGTATAAAGATGACAATTCCCTCACTAAACTATAATTATAGTACAATTTCAATTGTATTAACACTTTGTTGTATGTGTGAAACTAAAGATAATTCTTATAATATAATATAATAAGAAAGAATTATATTAAAAAGTTAATAATGAAGTCAGTTTTGAAGAACAAGATTAGAAGTATATCCACTTACCCTTCAAGGTTAATCATAAAGTGACTGTTAAAGAAAGTTCTGTACAATTAGCACACACACATTAATGCATTACAACAGAGAGCCCAGAAATCAATACACACACACAAAGGGATTTGGCAATGTAAGAAAAGAGGTACTACACGGTCAATGGGAAATGGATGAATTTCTTAAGAAAAGATGCTATGAAAACTGGTTATCAATACAAGATTAGATTTCTACCTCCCAACAGTCATAAAAATTAAGTCAAGGTGAATTAAGTATATTTTGAAATTCAAAACTAAAACTTTAAGAGCAAGAATAAAAATTTTTAAACCCAAGGGAAGGGACAAAATATTTAAACACAGCACCAAAAAAGCTGAATCACAAAGCAAAAGAATGATCAATTTAGCTGTGTTTAACTGAGATATTCTATACAATTAAAGATAAACACAGACCATATAAAGTAAAGACAAGCCACAGATCACAAGTTCTAGAATAGATAAAGCATTATGATGAGTAAGAAGACAAGCAACCCACTAGAAAAAAATCATAGGTTTTAGAATATACATTCACAAGCTAATGCTCAATAAATACCTGAAATGAAACTAAGAGTCTTGTTAGTCAGGGAGATGTAAATTAAAACAGACACCATCTCACAGCTTTAAAATGGAAAGGACACTAGTGGTACTCTGGATTAAGCATTGAATTGTTAACCACAAGGTCAGTGGTTCAAACCTACCAGCTACTCCACAGGAGAAAGATGAAACTATATGCTCCCATAAAGATTTAATCTCATAAAGAAACCATAAAGTGAGTTCTACCCTACTATGAGTTGGAACCAACAGTGGGTTTTTATTAGGGTATTGTTGTTATGTGCCATCAAGTCAGCTCCTACTCACAGCGACCCTATACAGGGTTTCCAAGGAGCGATTAGTGAGTTTGAACCACCGATCTTGTGGTTCAAACGGACCTTAAAGTCGATTGCTTATCCTGTGGCACTATTCCAGGCAGCAGTTATGCTGAATGAAAATGCACGTTGCAAGAGATATATAATATTTTTGGCTACCACTACCAATTGCTCTGAAAGGGATCACATTAGAAGGTCCTGGAATACAGTGGGAGAAAAATAGGGAGCAAAACTCAAAAGAACCAGGCTTACTGGTTGGACAGAGATAAGTGGAACCCAAGACTATGGTCATCACTATTCAAGTTACCTCTGTGGCCCAGTTTTCAACCAAACAATAGGTAGGTCTACAAGAGGGACAGTAACAACAGTGATTCATAACAATTTAATCTAATAACATTTTACATTCTTCTAAGGGTAGCATTATACCCAAGGACAAAGTTCAGAAGAGTTAGGAATGAAAGAGGAATGGAAACAGGAAACACAGAAATAAAGTGGGACTAGTGATGTTAAATTGTGGGAATTGTAATGATATGAAACAAAATAGGTATGAATTGTTGAATTGGAAAACTGATCTGCTCTGTAAATCTTTACCCAATTCACAAAAGTCACAAAGTCAAAATAAATAAATAAAAATTAAAAAAGAGAGATGCAATAGGATTATCATGAACATAAACTTTAAAATAATACATAATGTTTACAAATACAAACACATGTGGTGAAGTATAAGATCTTAAATAGGAACTTCAGAACAACTTCCCTCTAGTGAGGAAAGGAGAAGAATGGGGTCAGGAAGGAGTACAAAATAGTAATATTTTATTTCTTTAAAAATCAGGAGCAAACATGGCAAAGAAGTCTGTGACACATACAAGGGCATTTATATATATATAGATAGATAGATATATGTACGTATATATATATTTGTTTAAAGTAGATTTGAAATATTTTGTAATTAAAAAGAATTTTAATGGGCACATATGGTATAACAATCAATAACATTAATTATTCACACCACAGAATTTATGAAATAATAACATTAAAACTGTTTAAGTCACAGAAACTGATATATATACATTAGAGCATGTGATAAAAAAAAAACTAAATGTTAAATTAATAATTTGCTAATGGGCTTTGAATCTCATGCAATTTCAAAATGACCTATGCAACAATTTCAAGGCATGCTACCTTTTTTGTTACTGTTGTCAATGTTACATAAATAAAATTTTGATTAATGTGGTAATCTGAGTTTCAGTCTTGTTTTGGATAGCTTTTGCTTTAGCATATAGACAGTAACAGGCTTTACGCTTTCACTTGCAAGTCTTAAGGAAATGTGTCAAGAGTTCTAAATATGAAGAGTAGGTACTCCTCTTCATTATAGTGATGCCTTAAGACTAATGTGGAAAGCAATGCTCCATTCTCCTCTTTGCTTTTCTACATGGGGATTGGGTCAGAAGCCAAGAAGTACTAGTTCAGGAAAAGTTATAAACAAAGACTTATTATAAAACCATTTTTAAGAGAAAAGAAAACTCTCACAAAGGAGTAACAAAATCTTTTCACTTATTACACTGGAAAGAGACACAGAAAGAGAATATTTTAAGATGGGTTAAGAAGAGGTAGTAGAATTTTGCGATCTATACTTCACTTACTGACTCCTTAAGCCTCAAGACTAGAAGATAATAACTACCACATAGAAAAACGAATAGGAGACAAACAAACCTGGGTTGGAAACTGCATCTGTAAATGCCCATACTGACAAAAATCCTCTGACCACATTGATACTATTGCAACAATAGTCATTTTATCCAGGTGATGGAAAGCAGTCACTTTATTTAACATCAATTGTTTTTGCCAGTATAGTATTTGCAACAGACACGAGAAACTGATTTCTACTAGCCTAGCTATTACATATGTTAATATTTCCCATGAAATGGAAGACTGCAACAGAAGTATTCCAGGCCCCAAATTTCCATACTTCTAAATTTTGGGCACAATTATTAAAGGTAATAGTGTCGGGACAAAAGACAGATATTTAGCTACTCCACTTCAGCCTACCATACAGAATTTTACTTAACTCTTAGCTTTTAGTTCTGAAGGCTGAAAAGAATTGGCTCCCAAAAATCCCTTAATTAGTGTAACTTTGGCCAGTAATAATTGCAAAATTTTGCTTACAAAATTGACGGCTTCCCCCCAACACTTGCAAATGGTTTGTTTTTCCACCAGACCTTGTATTTCAGAAATACTCATTATTTTCCTCTCATCCTCGCTGCTTCATGAATGAAATAATCGCATTCCTATTTCTCAAAATTTCTCACCCTCTGGAGACTCTTTCAAACTGAGTAATAAGTTCACTGGTAAGTTTGTAACACAGTTCACTAATAGATGGAAATTCTTTCACAAGCAAAGTGTCAGTGTCATGAATTTAACATTTGAAATTTCATAACCCTTGATAAATGGAGGCACCTTAAAATCAGTTTACACTCTTATATAGAATTTCATGGCATGCTTCAAATAGCTTAAGATAAGCCATATTAAGTAGCTTAGTCCTTTTAATAATTAAAAAATATCAGAATATTTCTAAGTATTTTTGTTGTCAAACTAATAAATAAATCTTAAAATATCTGTAGACGTAAATCATTAAACCTCTTAATTCATCCTGCCTCACTTGGACTGTTCTACAATACAGATAACCAGACTGAACAGATTTATCATCAGTCTAATACAGTTGGTATAATGCTTTCACAAGTTCATATTCTATAGTTTAGGGTTTTCTCATGTTTATTTTAAAATATACAAATAGATTAAACTATTAATATAAATATTGCCTCTCAAATATGTAATATTCTTATGTAACAGAAATGATTTTTAAACATTTACAAAGCAATCTAAAGGTAAGTAAACCTGATTTTAGGATCATTACATGAACCGAAATAATTTTCCAGAGAAACTTCTGTTTAAATGTAATGCTCACTGCTTCTGCACATCAGCACTTTAAAAATGGATCCAAATTCAATGTATTTACTTCAGGAATCATTTCCAGTGAAAAGTATCTCAGAAAAAGGTCTCACGACAGAGTGGACAAGTGGATTTGTTGCTAGACGTAAACCATTTGTACTGAAAAGGAAAAAGGTTTTCATGTTAAAATAATTTTTAAAGTGGGTATCTTAAAGACACATATCTAAAGTAACCTTAAATCAATCAGTGAAAAAAGAACACTAATGAAAATATTTGCTCTCTCCAATTATCTCCAAAACTAACACAACTGAACATTAGTTCCAAAGGCTACATTACCAATGATTCTATCTAGGCACATGCACATAATCACCAACATATGTACGGAAGTAATTAATCCTTTCAATATAATGTCTAAAAACAGCAAAGGGCTCTGGTGCCAGACAGCTGTACTACTCATTAGGTGTAAAATCCTCAGCAGCTTGCTTACCACCTTATGAAGGTTGCTTTTCTCATCTATGATTAGGAATTATATCATTTTATACTTTTTTAGGTTGACATACCATATATGTTCTCATATTTTACTACTCTGAAGCATCCTCATGCACCATTCCTATGATTAGCTGCAGATCAGACCTGTGCAACCCACAAGGTTTTCACTGGTTGATTCTCAGAAACAGATCAGCAGGTCTTTCTTTCTAGGTTGTGTTAGTCTGGAAGTTCCACAGAAACCTGTTCAGTATCTCAGTTAACATACAGGCCTCCAGTTACAGAGGCTTGGTGGCTGTGTACGAGGTGAAATAGCCAGGAATCAATGTCTACTACATTTTATTTTTAAAATGCCGTCAAGTCAATTCTGACTCCGAGCAGCAGCCCTGTATAGGGTTTCTAAGGAGTGGTTGGTGGGTTTGAACTGTCTCTTTACATCTAGCAGTCTAGTGCTTGTCCTACAGTGCCAAACCAGGACTCCATGGAAGGTGAGAATTTGACCACTGAACCATCAATGCTTCATAACACATACACAATGCACACATGCATACATATATTTGTGTATGAGTATATAAAAATAAGCTTGTTGTATGATATACATACAAACATATTTTCTTTTCCTTCCCTCCCCTTTTTACTTTCAATTTTTATTTCATCTTAAAAAGTGTACCTCCCTCCGAACTGTCAACATTCCTGTCCCCAATGTAATTCTTGTACTCTGCAATATACCATTGATGTGCAGAGTCACAAAACCATTTATGTCTTGAGTGTTGAGATACACACAAGAAATATCCATTTATTTGATGCTACCAGTCTTAGTAAATTACTAATTATCTTTTATAAATTTTGAAAAATAATTTTTCAATGTCTCCCATTAAAGTTAAAAGCCTGACATCCATTGTTTTCTTTTCCAAAGTTATATGTATGTATCAGGGAGCTTTAAAAAATCCATGGAAAAATTTCATAATTTCAATTTCCATGAACTTTTTGAAGCCCCCTCACCTCATATAATATACATAAAATGTTACAAAAGTTTCTTTATCTTTAGACTTACCAAACAGGCTGAATGGAACTTTTTCTTGCATGTCCTACAGGCTTTTTTGGGAAGAGAATAGTTGAAACCATGAATGACTGAGAAACAGATCATGCAGTCTTCGACACCCTCAAAACGTTTATCGACATTATTTTTCCATAATGCTAAGCCTTCCATAATACTTCCATTCTGTTAAGAAAAAAAAAATTTTAAGAGTCAATACACAGTGCACATTATCGTTGTTGCTGGTAAGTGCCATCAAGTCAGTTCTGACCCATAGCAACCCTGTACAGCGTTTCTGAGGAGTGGCTTGTAAGCTTGAACCGCCGATCTTACAGTTCAAACTGATTCTGTAGTCATAAACTCACAGCACCCTACCAGGACATCATCATTACTATTATTAAATTTCACAAATTTTCAAAGTAGAATTATAATTCTAAGAATAGATTGTGGTGCTCAGCTATCTTCACATCTTCTAAGCTTTTAATGTTGGTTTCTGAAATGACCTTTCATAGCTTAGGAACCCGATGTAATTTTTCTTCACTCAAGACAGACTTAGAAGGAAGGTTTCTGCATCAATACTTTAAGTCTTTAAGTCTCATTTTGTTTGATAATATCCTTTTAAAAATTAAAACATTTAGATCAATTCTCCTAAGTTATAACTGACAATGATGAAACTAGTTATCTCACCTTATCAATTACTGATTTTGATACACTTGTTCTGTAATATTTTTATTGACCGCAGAAAGCCTGTGAGATATCACAATGTGCATGCACAACTGGAGAAAACCTAAAATTTGTTTAAAGGTCAAATGCTTTATCTTTGAAAGTACTGACGTTTCTTTGACCAAAGAAGAGTTGAAAGGTAAATGTGAAAGTAGCTCAGAAGACATTAACCTGTCGGATATCTTTAAAAAGTTTCACACTTGCATGTAAATTCCTTAATAAGGATCTCCAAGGGTCCAACTAGAATGCTAACGAGAAAGTAGCAGTTTGAACCTAGCAGTGGTTCCTCAAGAGAAAAGGTCAGGTGAACTGCTCCTGTAAAGATCACAGCCTAAGAAACCCTACAGGGCAGTTCTACTCTAGCCCACTGAGTCAACTTCACACAACATGTATTGTTCTGTATCCTGTAGGATGTCAATGAAGCAATCAATTTCCCTCAAGAAGCAAAGAATTAGAGCTTTAAAAATTAAAACACATGGACACTTGAATGAGATAGAAAGGAATATTCTGAAACATGATTACAGAAAGCTTGTAATCCTGTCTTCAGCCTTTAACTGACTGAAATACCTAAAAGGGGTGCTAGAACTTGCCCGGTGAAAGAGGCACTTGCGGAGCCTTTATAGTGTATAAGACATTAGGTGGAATCCTGGTCCCCACTCAGAACCTTCTGAGGCGGGACATTCCCACCTGAAAGGACAAAGCAGACCAGACTGGAGCTGCTAGACGAACAGAAGATACTTCTTGAAAGAAAAACCAGCACAGGAAAAATCAAAAACAAAAACGGCAGTCTGATTAGCTAAAAGAACAAGCAAGTTGTTTGCCGGGAAGCCATCAAGGCAAGCAATCTAGTCCCTTCAAGACAAACCCCCTTCCAAGACTGAAACTCAAAGGGAATACATAAGCAGGCATGTAAGCATACTGAAGACTACATTGGTCTTCTGGTGAATGGAAGACGGAGAAAGGCAACAATGATGATATGGGCCAAGTATGACCACGTGCCATAAACTCCTGTCAACTTAGAGATGAGAGAGAGAAGAGGAAGAGCTGGTTGGTCCAAAGTATGGCAAGACCTGGGAACTCACGAGCCCATGGACAAGGATATAGCCACAGAGGGCTAGAGCTGAGAATGAAGCATCCAGCTGATATGAAGTGAGGGGAAATGCACAAAAACACCTAAACTTGCAGACAGTACCCATTTTGACCTAGCTTCAATGGCTTGATGATCAGAACCTGACTAGAGGAAGATAAAAATAATTTTTGATAAAGGAAACAAGTCTAAATTGCTACAATTTGATGAACTAGACCTATACTTATGGATGTAATAGCTCAAAATAACAACTGAGAGAGAAGGAATCTTCACATCAAGGATCATTCCCATTCCCCCTCTGTACACAGGGTTGATAGGGATGGGAAACTTAGACATTGGCTACCTAAAATAGGGGGGGCCTATAAAGGCACAAAGTGACTGGCTTACAAGTTTTCAAGAGGGAGTTTCGTTTTAGTGTGTGCAGGGGAAGGTAGAACCCCTACTGAACAGTTTTCATCTTGTCTAGACGGATCTGGTGTAAGGAGATGGGGATAAAATTCTTAAGGATTCAGTAATGAGTAACTTATCATGGCTATTTTTATAATTGTCACAATTATAAAGCTAGAAGTTTTGTAACAAAAAGGAGGGAGTAATTAATCTTACATTCCAGGAACAGAGATCTCTAGGACCATCAAGGGAGAAAAGCATAAGCAGAATGTGGGACCCTATCTAGAGAAGCCGTGACATCAGAAATGGAAGCAGACATGAGGACATGGAAAGAGAGTGCAGCTGAGGACTCTAGACTCATGGGAATAGAAAGACTGTGTGCTAGCGGCCAGGGGGAAGGCTTGCAGAATGTAAACGATTATATATTCCTGAGTGTTTCTGTGTGCATCCAAAAAAAATCAGAGGGAATAGAAACAAATACTATTGAATGATGATGAATGGAGTGGATTGTAATTATTGCAATGAAACGATGAGTATAAAACCGATGTTCTCCCATGTAAACTATCACTCAATTCACAATAAAAACTTAAAAAAATGAAAACACAGCTGGTAGGTTCAAGTCATTTAAGCAAAACTGTGATTATCTAAGGAAATATACTATCTTTATTTCTATTTTTAAGTTTTATAACCTGTTCAAATAGAAGATCATCAGACTTTCCCTGGGTTAGAAAGCCAAACTTGGAAGCAGAAATTTACCTGATGGGTAAGGTAAGTGCTTAACTGCAACATCCAATTCCGCCACTGCTGCATAGCCACTCCAACTCTTTTCCCGCTTTCCACGGTTATTGAACCCAGGGGGTAATTTGAAGGCAGCTGTATTATAAGTTCAATAACTATATCCTCAATAGTATAAGTAGCCATTACTTCTCGAGTGGTAGCTCGAGCTTTAACCTGCAACAAACAAAAGACAATTTCCCCCTCAAATTTCTCTCCTTTCTGTTGATAGTTTGGTTAGTAGCCATCAAAGTTTTCTTCACAGAAAATTACAGATAAGACAGACTCACTGATTTGACCTGAGATATTTAATAAGTAGTTTTAAATACTCAATCAGCTCAGCATACTTAAAACACAAATTAATCATCCTTTACAAACACCTTCTGACTTTCCCATTTCCAGGCTAAAAACCACAGCATCATCTTATATGAGGAAAGTGAAATGTATCGCTACAAAATCATACAAACCTTTGTTGAACAAAAACATTAAAATGTGAAGCTACTGTTTCTTGATATATCTTTCATCTAGGCTTAAACATTTCTGAAGGAGGTGTTTCTGTTTCTCTATACTTTCTCTGGCTAAGAAGTTGTTGATGTACTGGGTTAAGTGTTGAGCTAATCAATCGCATGGTTAGGGGTTCAAACCCAATATCCCTCTGAGGGAGAAAGTTGAGGTGTCAGCTCCCATACAGGTTTACACTCTTGGAAATCCTATGGAGTTCTATTTTGTCCTATCAGGTCATTACTAGTCAGAATCAGTGAATGGATGAGAACCATTCCATGAAGATATTCGGGGCTGATTTAGAAGATTTACACTTCAAAAAAAGTAATTTTGACATTCACACACACCCCCACACACAGAGTGAACAGAGAAGGGCAGCTTGGACATTGGATACTCAAATGGGGAGGGGGGGACTACAAAGGCAAGAAGTGACTGGCTTACAAGCTTTCAAGAGGGAACCTAATGCTAGGGAGCATGGCGGAAGGCAGAATCTCCAGTAGGTACTATTCAATCTGTCTGGGCAGAGTGATGAAAGGAGATACAGATGGGTAACTCGTGATACAGTAGTGAATAATGCTTATCAGGACGGACTATGAGGGTTGGAAATGCAAAGGTAGAAGTTTTGTAACAAGGAAGGGAGTGATTAAATCTCCAGGATAGGGGCGGAGACCTCTGGGACCATCAACGGAGAAGAGCCAAGAGCGGGACCCTACCCAGAGAAACAGAGACGCCTGAGATGGAGGCAGAGATGATGATGCGGAGTGATGAAATGACTGGGGACTTTGGACCCAGAGAGGGAAAGAGACTGTGGGCTGAAAACAGGGGGGAGGAAGGGGAAGTGTAGTGGGCAGGTTTCTGGAATATACCCTTTGGGTGGTTGAGGATGCATGGAGGGGATTGGAACCATGGCAATGAAATGATATACGATGGAATGAATGTAAAACTAAAGTTCCCCCATGTAAACTATCATGTAATTCACAATAAAACATTTAAAATAATAATAATAATTTTGGCATCCTTAAAGGACTCAAATCATGTTCCTTTGAAATGTTAAGTTTTGGAAACAAAAAATCTGAAGGGGAAATACAAGGGATGTAGTAGGGTTGAAAAACTATGTGACAACCATGTCTGACTTCCCTGACTTCAAAAGAGAATGAAACTCAAAATCAGTCCAAGGCCGAGTCCTATGAAGTGGACTTCCACCCTACAACCTTCCTTACCCTATTCTAATACTAACCATCCCTCCCACAGCACTCTCTACTTCACATCTGGTTTGATAATCCATTACAATGGCCCCACAGAACTCATAACAATACTCCTGGTTACAGGGTTTATTAGGGAAGTGAAGAGGACACAGTTCAGGATCAAAAAAGCTCAGGACGCAGCAGTTCTCCAGATAGGAATGCATCTTCTGTTTGTTGTTTTTACCATACTATTTTATCTGTATTAAATACCTTTCCCTTCAGTTTTCACTGAACAAAATCCTGCCCATTTCAATACAATCCTCCTCCATGAGGTCTCACCTAATCTACTCAGCCAGATGTAACTTTTTACCTCTCTGATCTCAAAGCATACTGCCTCTTTATGTGATGCTTTCAAGTTCCCAATGCAAAACACTGGTCTTTTCCAACTGTTAAATTTTATGCTATTGTTGTTGTTGTTATTAAGCGCCATGGAGTCGGTTCCAACTCAAAGTGACCCTGTAAAGGGCTTCCGAGGCTGTAAATCTTTATGGGAGCAGAAAGCCTCATCTTTCTCCCACAGAACAGCTGGTAGTTTCAAACTTCTGACCTTGCGGTTCACAGCCTGATTCGTAACCACTGCGCTACCAGAGCTCCAACCCTACTAAACTGGTCATTCCCCAGCGACTGGCATATAGTGTCTGACATCTAGAAAGTGTTCCAATGTTTACTGTATATGAACTTATGTATGTTCAAAAACTATCTGGTGAATAAACAAATCCATAAAATGATTTGTTGTTGTTATGTGCCGTGAAGTCAGTTCCAACTCATAGGGACCCTGTACAGGGTTCCAAGGCTGTAAATCTTTATGGGAGCATAAAGCCTCATCTTTCTCCCGTGGAACAGCTGGTAGTTTCAAACTGCTGACCTTGTGGTTTGCAGCCTGATTCGTAACCACTACGCTACTACATACCACCATTTTAATCCATGCTTTTGAGATTTAACAGACAAACTTCAGAAAACAGATCAGACAATTCCTGTAAAGTTCAACCCAAAGGCTACAATTGTATGATGGTATTCACTACAATGACAGATATAACCAATATTCAAATAACTTTTCTAAAGAAAGTTAAGCAAATACTAACCGTCATGCCATTAAACAGTTGCGTACTTGTTTGCACAGAAGATATTTCTTGAAAAGAAAGGACACTGCTGACATACTTGCTTGTAAATCTATCCACGATATTAAAAATACGCTTCTCACTGCTATTCCACCACAGCCTAACCATAGCAGGCAAGTCTTTTAATGTCATACGATAGACAGAACAAGCCAAGTGTGGAATTTGGTATGGAAGGGTTGCTGTTTCTGAGGGAAAAAACAAATTCTTAGTTAGGAGAACATATTTCTTATATAGAATAACAGACTAGTATTAGTATTTTCCTTAGAAAACCACCAAGCAGTTCCTTAACAATAGTGGCATAGCTCATAAAAAAAGCATACAAAAAAAAAAAAAAACAGTACTCCTAGAGTACTAGTTTCCTCCCACATTTTCAAAATAAACCTAAGAAAGGCAAAAAGTATAGCGTGAAAGTCACCACTAACACTGAAAAAAATGCCTATAAATAACATCCTGTATTCCAAGTGAATGAACACAGATAAAATGTCTAAAAATAGGCGAAACAATTAAAAATCTTCTGTTATAAATTAAGAAAAGGAATATGGCTTCTTTTACTCTCTCCAGAGTTCACTGAGCTAAGCCAAAGTTGTAGGATATCCACTTTAATAGTCACAAGATACAATCCTAACCTTGGCTATTCAAAGCATTTCTAAAAGGCCTGTTCTTAGAAGTCATGTGTAAAAAACTGCAGTATAGATCTTGTTGTTGTTACGTGCTGTCAAGTAGTTTCCAACTCACAGCAACAATACGCACAACAACACTGCCTGGTCCTGTGCCAGCCTCAGAATCGTTGTTATGACTGAGTCACTCGGTCAATCCATTTCTTTGGGGGTCAGTCGTCTTCCTCTTTTTCTATGACCTTCTACTTTACCATGCATGATGTCCTTTTTCTAGGGATTCATCCCTCCTGACAACATGCCCTAAGTATGAGAGACGGAGTCTCACCATCCTTGCTTCTACGGATCAGTGTAGCTGCAGTTCTTCCAAGAGAAATTAGTTTGCTTTTCTGGCAGTCCATGGTACTTTCAATATTCTTCACCAACACATAATTCAAATGCATCAATTTCTCTCCAATCTTACTTATTCATTAGTTGTATAGCTGTTGTTATTGTTGTTGTTAAGTGCCGTCGAGTCAGTTCTGACTCATAGCGACCCTTTATCGTTTCCAAGGAGCGGCTAGTGAGCTTGAACCGCCAGTCTTGCAGTCCAGCACATTAACCCACAGTGCCATAACTAATATAACTAGATGCATGCATACCTATGCCCTCAATTAAAAGTTGAGCCCCCAAAGGAAAGGAAATAAATTTTACTCATCTCTGCCCAATTGAAGTCTACTTATTTCATAACAAATTATATTTATTGTTAAAAATAACAGCCTCAACATACTAAACTTCAAAACTTACAAATTCTTCACTTTATCCACAAGATCAAATGCTGTATCATGTTTAAAGAAATATGAAATATCTTTCACCTTAACTTCATAGCCAAGACCCATATATTTGGAGTATAATAACCACCTCCTGTCTGAGACTAGGCTTCAGAAAAGACACAAATACACATTTTACTGACCTCTAATACTCAAACGAAGTTCCTCAGTAAAGAATGTCTTAGGATCCTTATTTGAGAACTCAAGAACTGACTCTCCATAGGTTGGATTTTCTGGCATAAGTTTGAACAGATGGTAAAGCAATTTATTCAAACTCTTTGTTTTCCGAAGATACATAGAATAGAGAGCCCGAAGCTGGTGAAGTACAAATAGATTGTTAACAAATCCAATTAAACTGTAGATGAGCAGTAAATAAAAACAAACTAAACTATGACTGTACAAAAACAATTAATAGACAAATACCGTAATCTGAATTACATGAAAGTCCTACAAAAGACATGCCAGTCTTACTTTCTAAAATGTGTCCTTGCATGGTATTTACCCCTGTTCTCATAAGCTAGCAGATGTTTTCACCACCCGATTATTAGACATACGCTTCAAATATTTTTCTAAACTGTCCCCTACTAAGAAGCTCACCGCAGTCAGGAATCTCTGCTTAAACCTTGCACTAATGCAGATGATTTACTCACCCTCCTTCCCTGTCTTCCACACACTCCTTTCATGCTGCTGCCCTTAACCTTTCAAATTCCTGCTTCAAACAAATCCCAATTTCATGGCTGACCCCACCCTATATCACACACTCCAGAATCCCTTCAGGGCAGTGAATACAAACGAGTAGCTCAAAATGGCTTGGGGACTTCTCAACTATCAAAACCAAACCCAGTGCCATTGAGTCAATTCCAATTCATAGAGAACTGCCCCACAGTTTCCAAGGCTGTAAATCTTTTTGGAGGCAACAACCACATTTTTTCCCTGCAGAGCAGCTGGTTGCTGGGAACTGACAACCTTCTTTCTGGCTCACAGTGAAGCACTTTAACCACTGCACCACCAGGGATCCTTGGGACTTTTTCATTTCCTAAATATCAAATTTTTTCACATAAAAATATGTACATATGGTTGAAAATGTGCCAACACTAAGTGAACCAGAGGCATGTTTATGGGACTCGTGCTTTAGAACTCCTCCTTGCTCCTGAATAATGTTCCTCAATAATGTGTAGTTTACATGTGTTCACTTTTACTTTGCAGCTATCTCGTCTTTATACCTGTTCTAAATTGACTTCTTCCACTATATTCCCTGAGGATAAGACTCATAATTTCCTTGTAGTACAAAGACATTTACAGAATACCATAAGTGCACAAACACAAGGATGAAGATAAGAGATTCAGACATGGTTTTTAAAGTGTTGATCAAAGTGTTTTTACAATGGAGAAATCTGGAAGACATTATGTTTACTAAATAACCAAACTTAAGATCACCATATACTGATCACCACCTGTATAAGTCAGTCCTCTTGCCAAAAAGTTTATCCAAAATTGAATCATGAGGAAACAATCAGATCAATCCTACATTATACTACAAGCTATAAAACAACTGGCCTGCTGCTCACTGGCAAGAAAGCAAGGAAACAAAAAAGGGGGAAGCATTATTGTTGTTACTAAGTGCTATCAAGTCAGTTCCAACCACACTGACCCTGTACAGGGTTTCTAAGGAGCAGCTGGTAAGCTTGAACTGCTAACCTTGTGATTCAAACCAACTTTGCAGTCCAAGGCATTAACCCGCAGTGCCACATCAGGACTCCAAAAGAATCATACGTTAAAGAAACGAAATACAACGCACTACTTGATGACTGACTCCTGAATGGTGGGGGGGGGGGGTGTTTCCTATAAAGGATATTACTGGGGAAATGTAAATACAAAGCAACCACTGCAATCAAGTCCATTCTAACTTACAGCGACCCTGGTACAGGGTTTCCCAGACTATAAATCTTTATAGGAACAGACAGCCTCATGATAGTTGTTGTTAACTGCCGTGCAGTCGGTTCCGACCCATAGTGACCCTGCACAGGGTTTCTGAGGCTATAAATCTTTACGGGAGCAGAAAGCCTCATCTTTCTCCCACGGCGCAGCTGGTAGTTTCAAACTGCTGACCTTACGGTTCGCAGCCCAATTCGTAACCACTACGCTACCAGAGCTCATGATGGTGGATTTACATTCCAACCATGCAGTTAGAAGTCCAGTGCTTACCTTCAGTAACACCAAGACTTTTAAAATATAAAATAGATAATATAATTTCATCAAAATTAAACTTAATTATATTACACTTACAAAGCAACATTGTCCATGTTTTTCTTAGGAAATACATATTTTGGTAAAAGTAAGCCTGCAACTTACTTCCAAGTAGTTAAGCAGAAAAAAAGTAGAAATAGAGAAATCATTTGCAATGTAGCAACACATTAACTAGTGTTCTTCCAAATTTATAAATTAAAAAATTTTAAAAACAGAAAATTGAAGGGAAAGTAAAATTTCAAAATAATGAGTCTAAAAATAAAGAAAGAAAGAAGTCTAAATCACTGGACTTTACAACACACATATATATGAGCCAGCAATTCCACTCAGGTATGTTGGGAGAGGGAGTTCGAAAAGTTCATGGGAAAATTCCTTTATCTATTAGTTACATTTTGCCACAAACTTTTTGAAGTCCCCTCATATACTGTTGTTGTTAAGTGCCGGCGAGTGGGTTCTGACCCATAGCGACACTGTATAGGGTTTCTGCGGAGCAGGTTCTGACCCATAGCGACACTGTACAGGGTTTCTGAGGAGCGGCTGGTAAGCCTGAACTGCTGACCTTGCAGTTCAAATGACTTTGCAGTCCAACACATTAAGCCAAAGCACCAAGCCAGGACTCCCCTCATAGTTTGTTGTTGTTGTTAAGCGCTGTCAAGTCGATTCCGAACCATAGTGACCCTGTACAGGGTTTCCGAGGCTGTAAATCTTTGCAGAAACAGAAAGCCTCACCTTTCTCCCACGGAGCGGTTGGTAGTTTCGAACTTCTGACCTTAAGGTTCGCAGCCCGATTTGTAACCACTACGCTACCAGAGCTCCTTTCCCCTCATATAGACCCAAGGAAAATGAAAACATATATCTACAGTTTTAATCAGCAAAATATGTGGAAATAACTTGTGTGTTCATCAACTGATGAATTGTTTGTTAAGTGCTGTTGAGTCGGTTCTGACTCACAGCAACCCTGTCTAGGATTTCCAAAGAGAGGCTCGTAGGTTTGAATCACCGACCTTGCGGTCCAAACTGACCTTGTGGTTCACTGCAATTATCCTGCAGCACCACACCAGGACTCCACCTTATGAACAGATAAGCAAAATATACTATTCACTAACTCAACCATAAAGAAGAAATGAACTACCAATACATACTACTATATTGGGGAGGGGGTGGGCTTTAATGCACTCGTGGAAAAATGGTACTAAAAGATAATGAAGGAATATATACACAGGATAGTTTGGGTGTTTGGGGGGAGGGGGCAATGCACTGGAATGGGGGAGGATTAATGGAAGAGCAGGGAGGATGGGAGAACATTTTGGCAGGTTTGCAAGGGCTGGGTGGGACAGAGGTGAAAGGTGATGTATTATGCTCAATCTTGGAACAATGGGGCTCTGGGATAAAGGGATTGAGGCAGGGTTTGAATGGTTAATGGAGGGGAAATAATGTTGAGATCATTGCCTGTCTTTTGAATCTTGGTTTCCTTTGCCTACTATTGTAAAATAAACACTTGAAAGGAAGAGAAAGGAATAGCAAGAAACATCACAACAGAAAGCTTGTAAGTCCGTCTTCAGTCTATAACTGATTGGAATATCTAAAATGGGGCTACAGCTTGCCCCGTGAAGGAGGTTTCTTGCAGAGCCTTTGCACTGCATCAGACCATAGGTAGAATCTGGATCCCCACCCAGAGTTTTCTGAGGTGGGAGACCAGCCTGGAGCTACTAGAAGAACAGAAGATACTTGTTTTAAGAACAATCAGGAGGAATGGTCAAAAACAGTAGCGGCAGTTGAAAGTTGTTTGCCAGGGAGCCATCAAGGCAAGTGGCTAGGTCCCCACAGGGAAAACCCTCTTCCAAGACTGAGACTCAAGCGGAATACATTAGTGGGCATGTGGTCTTGCTGGTGACCACGTTGGGGAGAGGTGGAGGAAGGACAGTAACGAAGTTGTGAGCTAAGTCCCACCACGTTCAATAGACTCCTGTCCACCTGGATTGAGACCTGGTTGGTCAGCAATATGGTGAGACCTGGGGACTCCTGGGCCCAGGGACAGTGGCATGGCCACAGAAGACTATGGTGGAGAGTGAACCGTCCAGCTTATATGATGTGAGAGGAGATGCACAAGAACACCCATACTTGCAGATAGCACCCATTTGACCTGGTTTCAATGGCAGATGATAGACCTTGACTAGAGGAAGAAAGAAGACGAAAAAACAGAGTAATCTGCTGCAATTTGATGAACTTGACCTATACTTACGGATGTAGTAGCTCAAAAGAGGAAACAAATCTTTACAGCGAGGATCATTCCCACCCTCTCGGTACACAGGGTTGACAGGGATAGGCAACTTAGACATTGGCTACCCAAAATGAGGGGACTAGAAAGGCACAAAGTGACTGGGTCACATGCTTTCAAGAGGAAGCCTAGTTTCAGAGGGAGCAGGGGAATGCAGAATCTCCACTGAGTGGTTTCCAACCTGTCTGGATGGGGCTGGTAAAAGGAGATGGGGAAAAGACTCTTGTGGTTCAATAGTGCATAATTGCTATCAGAACTAATTGCGAGTGTTGCAAATGTAAAGGTAGACGTTTTTGTAACAAAAGGAGTGGAGTGGTTGATTTTGCAGTCCAGGAGCAGAGGACCCTGGGACCATCAAGGGAGAAGAGTGGACTGTGGGACCCAACCCAGAGAAGCAGTGACACCAGAGATGGAGGCAGAGACAATGACGTGGAGAGATGAAGCAGCTGGGGACCCTTGGACTAATGGATGGAGAGGGACTGTGTGCTAATGGCCGGGGGGCGGGCTTGCCGGGTGTGCCCCTTTGGTTGTTTAAATGGCTGTATATTCCTGAGTGCTTCGTGGTACATCCAAAAAAAAAAAAGGTAATGGAATTTTCCCAAGGACTTTTTAAGTCACCTCATTTGGTGAAAACATGCTAAGTGAAGGCAGCCAAATACAAAGGCCACAAATGCGAAATGTCCACAATACGCAAATTCAATGAGGCAGAACATATGATTAGTATATTTGTGGTTGCCAGGGATGCGTGTTTGGGAAGAAATTGGAAGTGATTGTTAATGGGTACATGGTTTCCTTCTAAGAAGTTGAAATGCTCTAAAATTAGAAAGTGAGGATGGTTAACAGAGCACTGAATATACCAAAAATACCAAACTATATATACTTCAAATGAGTGAACTTTATATGTGATATATATCTCAATAAAGCTATTAAACACTCAAAGAAAATCCCAAGATTCAGGACTGAGTAAAGTTTTTTAAAAAATGTTTCTGTTTGTTTCAAGATCAAGAGCTCTTAATTAAGTTATCATCCACAGCTCAGTTCTAATTTCAGGTTCAATAAACACTACCATAAAATTACTTATAGTCCTGTTCCCCCCACATCATAATTCAATAAAAAAAGATCATGCACAGCCATTTTTCTAATTTCTGAATATAGCAATAAAAAAATTCTTATAAACCTCAAACTGCTTCAATGTTTAAGATATCAACAATAGTTTTAAAAACCAATGTAAAAGCCCAACAAGGAGTTTCTGAAATACATAATTAGCTAAAAAAAAAAAAAAAATTTAGCTGAAATCATAAACATAAATATCAAGCCTGGAGAAAAACAAAACTATTTAACAACTAGATGAATGTTGCTTCATATTTCCTTTAGATACACAAATACAACAACAAAGTATAAAATGATATATCTGTACCAAGATATGGATTAAGAGCTACAAGACAAATTAAAATTTAAGAATTCAGAAAAAAATCACATTGGCCACAAATGCCATGAGAATTTAATCACACTTTAAATATGAAGTGATATAAATCTTTTTGTATTGGCCTAACAAAGAAATCATATGCATTGTTACCATGATTTGATTAAGATTCTCTAGTGGGGACTGACCCAAAAGAAAAAAAAAAACAGACTAAAAATTTACAGCGCCCTTTCTGAACAATGAGGTCTCAGGCATGAGACAAGAGAGACATCTAGAGGCTGCTAGAATAATCTGAGCAAGAATATTTTATAAGATGATATTTTCACCATTTAGAAATATTGTTGTTGTTATTAAATGCCATCGAATTAGTTCCAACTCATAGTGACCCTGGATAGGGTATCTGAGGAACAGCTGGTGCCTCCACCTTTCGGTTTCCAGAGCTTATCGTAGTGTCACAATAGTTTGAATTATATAGGTAATGCTTCAAAGACATTTGTCTAAGCACTGACTTCATTTAAAAGACATTTCCAATTATGTATCAATTGAAATCTCCACAAAAGAAAAGATGACCAAAGAAAAAAACAGCAAGATTCAATTCTTTTGAAATTATTACTATAGAGGAACAACATTAACTGATACAAATCTTGTTTCCTGTAATAAACTGACTTGATGACTACACTCAATTAAAAAAAAAAAAAAAAGGTCCAGTCACTTGTCAGAAAATAATTACTCTTGTAAAAATTGGATGTGTTACATATATCAGTGTATGAACACAAGGGATAGGGAAGTGAACACATGAATAAAATTAGAAAAATATCTGACGTTTGTTGTTGTTGTTGTTATCTGATGTTAGCCTTTTTTTTTTCCCTACCACAAGAAAGAGAAGATACTTAGGGCCAGAAAAGCAAAACATACATACATGACAAAAGTCATCACATATTTATCTACCTGAGAAGAAGCAGCTTTGAAGAAAGTAAGAATTAATTTCCACGTGAGGAGGTATCCCAGAACGTAACAGAAGTCCTCACTCAGTGGCTTAATGGTCACAATCTGTCCAACAGAAACACATCCCAAAACATTTTCTAGTAAGTCCTCTTCAGTGCTAAGAAGAGACATCAACATTGCCGGTGGCGACCTAAAAAAAAAAAAAAAAAAAAAAAATTTAAAGACCTAAATAGAATGCCTAGAACTATAAAGATCAGCAACGAAAAAAATTTTTGCTAAAACTCATGTAAACATCCTTCTGATATTCTATGCTTTTAACAATAAAAAAAAAAAAAAAAAAAAAAAAAAAATCAATGAAAAATCAAAACAATACAATTTTCCTCATAACTTGCCCCATAACAAATTTATAAACTTCAAGCATTTTAAAAAACCTTTCTCTCTTTTTTTAAACAAGAAAGTCTACTTTATAGATCCAATTTTAACTCCTAATTTCACAAAATGGCAATTAAGGAATTGGAAGATAAGCTACAAAAACAGACTATAAAAGTTAGCTTTTGAAGGAAGGACACCTTTAAGAAATATCTGTGTCAACATTCTGTTACAGAGATTTAAAAGAAAAAAAAATTGTACATCTAAAGAGGCAACATGTTAATCCAAAGTCCCTCAGCTTAGTCAGAGGAACTATTGTTGTTAACTGCCATAGATCCCATGCGTGCAGAGTAGAACTGGCTCCATAAGGCTTTTAAGACAGTGATCTCTCAGAAGCAGATCTCCAGGCTGATGATCTTCTAAGATGCCTGTGGATGACTTCAAACCACCAATCTTTTAGCTGCCTGAAGCACCAGAGTTTAACTGAACCACCTGCTTATTGTTACTGCTATGTGCCTGTGATTGCTGTGTGACACTGAGTCAACTCCTACTCACAGAGACCCCAACAAGAAAAGTAGAACTAGAAACCATAGGGTTTCCTAGGCTATAGTCATTATGGCAAAGGAGCCCTGGTGGTACAATGGTTAAAATCAGTCAGCTCCTAACCAAAAGTTGGTGTTTTGAACCTACCAGACACTCCATGGGAAAAAAAGATTTAGCAATCTGCTCCCGTAACGATTACAGCATCATAGTGACCCTAAAGGGCAGAGTGGAAATGCCTAGCTGTAACTGTTATAGAAGCAGAATACCACATCTTTCTTTCAAGGAGCTAGAGTTTTGGTTCGCAGTTGAGCACTCAACCATTGCATCACCAGGGATCCTCTGAGGAATTATTATTGTTGTTGTTGTTGTTGCTGTTACCCAACTCCTTTAGTCTGCCATCCAAAGTTCCCCACTCCTATATTTTCCTCTGATTACCCCAACGTTCTGGTGTGGCAATGGACTAAGAACAACAAGGTCTGCAGTTCAAACCCACCAGCTACTCCTCAGAAACCCTATACAGGTTGCTGTAAGTCAGAATAGACTCGACAGCACTTAACAACAACCCTAACATTAACCGTAGCTCTTCTCTACCAACTACCATAATTGTCATAAAAGCCACAGGTATACCTCTTCTCAGACAATGTCTCTGACATCCCCTCTACTTATCTTGTTTAGTTATTTATCTCCCCTCAAGTACATGCCTTGCTTTTTTTTTGTGATGCAATGGAAGTATGTGGGCTCTAGAATCAGAGAAGTCAGAGTCCACAACCTAATTCTACTATTTATAAAGTGCATCTGAGTAAATGATTTATACTCTTCCAAGCCTGTTTTCCCAACTACAAAATGAAAGACATAAAGACATACCAATAGCACATTTGTAGTACAAAATCAGAACCCAAACACAAAGTAGCAGCATTTAATAAATGTGTTTATGTTCTATTTTCTCTAGGATCAAGCCAATATTTAATTGAATTCAATTCCACCATTATAAATGAGTAGTAGTTTGTTGTTATTAAGAGCCATCAAGTTGGTTCCAACTCATACCGACCCTGTATAGGGTTTTTGAGGAGCAGCTGGTAAGCTTGAGCCGCCCTTTGCTGTTCAAACCAACCTTGCTGTCTAGTACATTAACCAGAAATGGTTACACACCAGGACTCTTAAGTAGTGGTTTGTTGTTGTCAGGTGCCGTCAAGTCAGTTCTGACCCACAGCAACCCTTTATAGGGTTTCCGAGGAGCGGCTGGTGAGCCTGAACCACCGATTCTGCAGTTCAAACAGACTTTGCAGTACAGTGCATTAACCTTCAGCTCCACACCAGGACTCTAAGTAGTGGTTTAGCTCTCAGTTATTGCCCAACTTCTCCTACCCTGACCCCTATGTAAATAAAAGCAGAACTCTATCCTCCCTGACTCTTTGGATTTAGGGTAAATATTCTCTTGAATGACAGTCTTAAATTACCTAATCATCAAATCCAATCATATTTTCACAGGCCTCATTCTCTTCATACTTCCTGCAACATTTGATTCACCTAGTTAACCAACCCCCGCACACTACCTTTAGACTCTTCTCTATGGCACTGGGTTCTCTCTCTTCCCATATGGTTCCCAGAGGAATTCTCCAAGCTTCTGATCTTACGTCTTTACCTTCAACAACTCCATTTCATGGACCAACCTTTCTCTTTCTATACCAAATGGCCACTAGATCCTAATATTTTTTAAATATCTCCACACTGCCCTCCATGCATATAACCTGCGTAATGGTGTCCACCTCTGCTTGCTTCTTTATACAATCCACACTTCTTTCTACTGCCAAAATAAGGTCACGGTGTTCTACCGCGTACCAAGAAATGCACTAATACCTTAAAATTTTCATTTTAAGGCCCTTCATTATTCAGCCCTTAAACTACCCACCCTCCAACTTTACCTTACTATGCCATTCCTACTCGACACAAAATCATTCATTTAGTTTTTTATTAATAAAGGAGTACAACTCTGAGTCTTCTATATACCCAGCACTATCCTGGCACTATGGATATAATTGGGACAAGAGATAAAAGTTCCTGTATTCATAGAGCTTACATTCTAGTGAGCAAGATACTGACAATAAGCAAGCATGTTAAATGGCAAGTAATCAACATTCCCAGAGCACCTCTTGAGCATTCATGCCTCAGTGCCTTTACACATGCTGTTTCCATAACTTATGCTGCCTTCCCTGTCTCATTGAAATGTTTGCTTAATCATAAAGGTCTCTTCATAAGTAAAGTCTTCCCTTTCTGGTGCATATGTCATTGTGCCAACATTCTTTTTCTTAGCACCTGTTACATGCTATATCTTCTATTAAAGAGCAATAATGTTTATATCAGATTATTACATTAGATTATAAGCTTAAGAAAAAAAAGACTTGTTTGATAGTGTATTGCCTGCTCACATTAATACATACCTTGCACAAAGTGGTCTTTAATAAATATTTGAGGTGATACAATTTTTCCATGGCTATCATGTGACTAATGAAAGTTTTACTAAACAGTAGCACACTAAAATGATCATTTAGGAACACAAGAAGGACAAATAATCTTTTTGGACAGCCTCTGGACTTAATTTTTATCTTACAGATAACTTTTAAAGGAGTTATCTGTTGAACATACTCTAAATTTAGACTTTCTGCGTTGCCTGGGTCTTCTAAGGTCATTATCACTGAGGTGAATTGAAAGAATTTAATAAAACAATTTATTAAAAAAACTTACAGGGCTGGCTCTTCTTCCTCATCTCCGTATGACTTTAGATTATCCTGATCATACTGTGGTAATTCAGGCATCAATCTGAAAATTAGAACATTACAATAAAATGCGTCATATTAAATTATTCATTGCTAAATCATGAGCAGAATGGTCAATATGTATTTTGTAATGAGCATATTTTTTAATGAGTTTTTTCCTTAAATAACTACCTCGTCAGAACTCTATGTCAGGGGTGGGGAATGTCTGGCCCACAAAATCATTTGGTCTGGCAACCAAGGCAACCACAGTTCCAACCATCACATTAAGGTTGAGTTAATTAAATGTTTGACCAAATATAGCAGACTAATTTTTAAACTGATCATTAGTTATGGTCCATGAATGGTGTTATAAATTTGGGCAGAAAATAGTTTCCCCACCCCTGATTTTTGTCAAATTTGCAAGAACGGTAGTGACTGACCTAAAAGCAAATAACTTGACATCTCTGTTATTTAAGTGGATGGTCAAGTTTCCATTTCTGAAAGTTTGTCTTTTTTTAATGATTAAAAGTTGGTTGGTTAGTTTTGTGCTGTGGAGTGGATTCCAACTCACAGCAATACTGTATAGGGTTTCCGAGGCTGTAAATCTTTACGGGAACAGAAAGCCTCATCTTTCTTCAGTGGAACAGCTAGTAGTTTCAAACTGCTGACCTTGAGGTTAGCAGCCAAACTCGTAACCACTATACTACCAGAGCTCCTGATGATTGAAAGTTAGGACTAAATATATAATCTATTTTTATAGATCAATGTAGCATCAATTCATTTTGAAGAATTCTTACTTGTAGAGCATATGATAAGCAGCTATTTGCACAGGTCTAGCTCTGAAGAGGAGTAATGGGGCCAATGTGTTTAGCAAAGTCTGGAGATGTTCTGGTAAGTTTGTTTTTTGGTCAGCAACAAATCTCGCCGGGAGTTTGTGACTCAACAGCTGCTCCTTTGACATATATGTTAGTGTTTCACACATGGGCTTCAGCACTGCATTCTGAAAGGATGTTTCAGATGGATCTTTGCTTTCTACTAATGATAAAAAAAAATAAAAAAATAAAAAAAAAAACCAAAGAGTCTGAGTAACAGCTTGATTCATACTCAATAAGATGATATTAAAATAAACTAAAAACTTGACATATATGCATGCATTATAGTACTCCTAATTGATGGCACTCAGCAATTAGATACGAAGTAAATCTATATTTCAGTGCATCGTAACTGTTTTGTGACTTCTATTTCACCTTTGAAAAAAATGCAAATGTTTAAAAGGAGTTCAAGTCATGAATATTCGATTCAGGTTATCGGAATCACTATTCTTTAAATCTGCAATGGTCATTGGATATCTTATCTGTAAAGCAAAAGCATACATGATGTTCTGAGAAGCCAAGCTTTCTCTCTTTGCTCTTTTCTTTTACTATTCTATACTGTTTGACTTAAACATCCAAAGTTTTAAGTTTTGAATTTCAAGACTTTTCCATGAATCTCACTATTATTCTTTTTTCACTTGCCTGTAACAGTCATCAAAAGAGGCAAAAGCAAACTGTGGATGCCTTGGGAAAAAAATTCTTTCCATTCACTGATTAGATTTACAGGAAGATTGCCAAAGGTATCCAGACTTGTGGAATCAAAATACAAACTGAGATCACAAGCCAAGCCACAGCTGACACAGGCAAAGAGTTGTACAAGAGGATCAGAGTACAAAGCACGACTCTCACTTGCTGTCTACAGAAACAAAAAAAATCAAATAATTAGGCACTCTTCTATACTAGAACACCACAAACTAAGGTAGTAAAGAGACGTTTCTGTATCTCTTAATTATAAAATAAAAAGCAGGTAAGGTGCACAGTCTCGAGAATTTCACGTGTCAAATCAACATCATATTTTTCAAAATTCAATGCTAATAATTAGAATAATTAATGAATAATTTATTCTAAAATGCCTTTAACTTCTGAAACTACAAAAGAAAACAGAAACAGCTACCATTTACAAGGTAGATACTTTACTCAATTTTCATCTCCTTAGTAATCCTCTGTGTTGGGTATTATTATGTCCATGTTAAAATAACAAAACTGAGGCTCAAATGAGTTCAATTTAAAACTTTAACTGTCACAGCTCATAGTAGGGAAAGCAGAGAATCAAACTTTGACTGATACACTGCCTCACAGCCCACAGGTTTTACACATGGGCTGTTTTGGCTCACAAAACAAAATGAATTCTCATGAATGTACAAAGGTAAGAAAAACACTACTGCTACTCAGGGTCTAGTTCATCCATGCACAGATTTATTCCAAACAAAATGTGTTTAAACATGTCTCTGCGATTAGTGGATGGCTGCAGACAAGTTTTCTCAGTAGTATACCTGACTTAGTCACGTTATTGTTGTTGTTGTTGTTAAGTGCCATCAAGTCGATTCTGACTCATAGCGACACTGTGTAGGGTTTCCAAGGAGCAGCTGGTGAGCTTGAACCACTGACCTTGCAGTTCAAATGACTTTCCCGTCTGACGCATTAGCCCACAGCGCCACGGCAGGACACCAGGACATTAGAGTGCCTTAAAAAAAATGTTAAATCCAAACTGGTTTCTTAGGGGATCTGTTGTGCCAGTTAAACTTCAGGCAGAGAGGTCACTTCAGAAGATTACGGTGACTGCTCTTTGGACTCCAAAGGAGTTACCTTAATAGATTTTCTCAAAGGACATAGGATGATTATAGGGGCATATTAAGAAACTAAGGAGCTCTGGTAGCAAAGTGGTTAGGAATCGGGCTGCGAACCTAAAGGTCAGCAGTTCGAAATTACCAGCCGCTCCGTGGGAGAAAGATGAGGCTTTCTGCTCCCGTAAAGATTTACAGCCTCAGAAACCCTGTACAGGATTGCTTTGGGTCAGAACCAACTCCACGGCACTTAACATTATGAAACTGTACTGGCTAGAAAAATGCCAAAAAAAGTTGCACTGAGAAAAACGTACCTGCTCATTTTTGGAAGGAAGCAAGGGCTTTCCAATGAAGACTATCATTGGGAAACTTTACCCCATCCAACCTACAACTCTGATCTTGCCTCTACACACTGATTTTTTTGTTGCCAAAACTCAACATTGAAATGGAACATGATTTGAGTCCCTCAAAGTTACCAAACTGTAGTTTTGACATGGTGTAAATCAAAGAGAGCAGAATTCTATAAGGAAGATTTGGTGGTGGTGGCAGTGTGCCGTAGAGTTGGTTCTGACTCACAGCAACCCTGTTAGGGGTTTCCAAGGCTATAAATCTTTATGGGAGCAGAAAGCTTTATCTTTCTCCCAAGAAGCATCTGACAGATTTGAGCTGCTGACTTTATGGCTTACAGCCCAACTCATAACCCAATATTCTACCAGGACACCTAGGAAAGGGTGAGAGAAATGGAAACACTACTTCAGAGGTGTACAGACCTAGTTGAAAAACAAGAGCTTCACATTTTGATATTTTATAGCAACACTTTTTGACATATCCTCCTTGCATTTAAAATAACTTAATTAGAACCCAAAAAAATCATCTTGAAACCCTGACATGAAACAGTAAGATACAACCTAACGATCCTGTTCTGCAAATATATTCAAATAAGCTAATAAAGAGAACATTTTTAATAGCAGTTAGAAGATTTGGTCACTAAAATTTGTGAACAGTCATTAAACCTATCATTTTAACAGCCTATGGCTGTCAAATATCAGATAGGAAAGAGAAAATCTATTAAGTGTTGTAATTATTTTCAAAGGATTTAGTTACCAGCATCATTTAAAGAACAAGATTACAAATACCGTTTCAATGCGGAGATATGCACAAAGACCCAACAAAAGTGATGACACATCAGGTTACTTTACCTCTAACCAAGCCAACATGGAGCACATGATGAAGTCCCACTCACTCTCCGCCAAAGGTGCAGACCAGTATTTTAAGAACAGGGAAAGAAATCGGATTATTTCTGTATTTATACCCAGTGTCTCTGGATTTGCTTCTGACAGATTACTATGATAAAACAAAGCAAGAGACATATTGATAATCAATTAGAACAGATCCTGTTTTATTTTATATGCTTATAAATGTCAGACTAAAATGTTATTTACTCTACAAAGTTGTCCATGTAAGATACACAACTTGGTTCACATTGTACAGAAGGAAAAAAGAAGAAAAAAACACTTCAAAACATTACCTACCAACTGAAGAGAAAAATATCTTCATAGTTTTTCTTCCAGCACATTATTACTTTTAGTATACCATGTAACAAGTCTTTATCATCTATGTTTTTGGTTTGTAGAGAAGAATTGAAAATAGCAAAATATCCAAAACCTCCTAAAGCAAAATTCAAAGTACAAATTACAAATTTAAACTTAAAAAAAAAAAAAATTACAAATGGCTACTATAAAAAGGAAAACTCTTCTACTTTGAGAAATGTTCACTCAGATCAAGAACTCTAAAAAGGGTTTAATCAAAAGAATCAGTAAGTGAGTTTGTACACTCCACAAAGTCGAGACCCTATCTGCATACCAAACACCTAGTACAGTACAGGATCTTTTCTTTCTCTCTCTTCTCTTACTCTCTTTAAACTGCTGTCTTTGTCTTAGTTTCAGTACAGGGCTTAGCCAGCAGACCCCTCTCTCAAATAAAACCAAAATCGACATTGCTGTAGAGTACAAAGTTCAATAAGGATGGAAAATAGAATACAGGGTTCCACAATTCATACGTTCATTTAATAAGCATCTACTGTATCTTTAAAATCCCTGGTTCCTTCTCATCCTTCAATTCTTAGATTAAATATTACCTCCTCTCCACAACAGTCCCTCAAGTACTGAAAGCAAGACTTCGAATGGATTCCGCCCCATTCTGTCATGGCTGATGAAATGCTACCTGAACACAAATCCAATATTTTCAAATGTGGGGGAACCAGACGCTAACCAAAATGGGAAAAAATTAAGGTTCAAAGGCTTGAAAGGCTTGCTAGAAACTTAATCCCCTCTCTCAGAAAACAAGAGTACGGTGTACACTATATAAGTAACAAGATATCTTGACCTGGCTCTTAAATACTGATGTACAGTTCAAAGATGGTGGTCAACCACCCCGCTCAAAATGTCTGTGGCTTTCCACAGTCCTGGCAGTAACACATCATGCTTCTGAAAGGGTTCACTAGGTTTCTTCTGAGTCTCCTCCTATCCCAGGGCTTCCACCCATAATTTTTCCAGTTTTACATGGTGTACCCCAATCACCCAAATTTTAAAAAGTTGGGTCTGTTCTGGTTCAGTCAGCCATGATCAAATTATGCCTCTCCAAGTTACCTTTCATATATATTACCTGCTCACAGCCTTTATGGCACTAATTATAATCTATAATCATTATCTGTTTACTTACTATTATCTTCTCAAGTGAAAGTAGGAAACTTTTCTGTTTTATTCACCACTGTACAAGCACAATACTCATAGTACAGAGAAATTATTTTGACTGGCTATCAAAGAGTAAAGGAACAAATGAATGCATACCATGTACCCTGCTAGACACGGGAAAAAACATGAGCAAAATCCAGTCTCTGATCTGAAAGGGACTCATCTTAACAGTATAGATTACTTCAAAACAAATGAGAATATAATATGGATAAAGACTGGGTGCCTAGAACTAGAAGTAACTCTCTGCATCTAGGTGAAATCAGGAATGGCTTCCTGAAGTTGGTGTCTGAGTCTGGATTTACAATTCGCAAGGCCAGCAAAGGAACACATCAGGTAGTGTCAAGATACAAATTTGTAAAAAGGTATGGTATGTTCAAAAATCTGACAAATTCAAAATCCCTGAGTGGCACAAATGACTCAACTACCTGAAAGGTTGCCAGTTTGAACCCACCCAGAAGTGCCTAGATACAGTCTTGAAAACTGAGTGGAGCAGTTCTTTCTTGTGCACAAGAGGTCACCAGGAGTCAGAATCAACTAAACAGCAACTAACAACAAAAAATGTTTATACACAAAAATCCTAATTTAGTATAAGAAAGGTATGGGTAGAAACAGCAGAAAATAAATTTGGAGAGGTCAGTTGCGATATAAATGTAAAATGTCTTAGATGCCAAACTAAGAATTTTGGATATTAACTTGTAGGGAAATGGGAAACAAAAAAGAGTTGGGGTTTTTTTGTTGTTGTTTTTTTAAACAGAACACTAATTCTCATGGGAAGAGAAAAAAAAAACAGAAGAGACTCAAGTATAATCAGAAACCACTGACTTTAAGAACCAATTGAAAGGGTTTGTTTAGCTAATTCTGTATCCTCTCTTTGGCTAACAGGAATAAAATTATCATAAAACTTCAAAAACATTTTGTTCCCCTTAATGCCTTCCTCCCTCCAAGACGCTGTGCAGCTACTATATACTTCCTTAGTCTGTGTGAACACCTCATGGAGTTGTGTTTGATGCAACCTATCTCCTCTCAGTCCTCCTGGTTACAATCTACACTGGAGAAATCAATTGCATTCTCAAGTACTTCGCTCCTCTATGCATAATGAGTTCAACTTGGAATACCTATTCCAAAATGCAAACTCAAACCTAATTCCACAGTCTAGCTCTGTAAGTGAAGTCAATGCCACAGAAATTTAACATTGGCTGGGTTCAGTCACAGACGCATTTGGCAATTTCTTTAATGCTAATGGCCAGATTCTACTTCTACTATTCCAAACTTTCATGACACCTCTTAAAACTCAAATAAATTTCTACACATAAAATGGCCTACCCTATTTCACAGAAGAAATGCAGCTTATTGGTCAGGAACACATATACTTCCTAACCTCATCTCCACTATACCTACATCCCTCCTTACCTTTTATCTCAGAGAAAACTCCCTCCCTGGAATGCAAACCACAAGGTCAGCCATTCAAACCCACCAGCTGTTCCATGGAAACCCTTACACAGGGTGGCTATGAGTCAGAACTGACTGGATGACACTTAACACTACCACGATTCAAGGTAATGTCTACCTATGCTCTGGATCCTATCTTATTTTGCCCTCTCCTTTCATCTTTTCAATGGAAACTTTCTTCATCATTTCCTGTCTCTCCTCTATCTTCATCCCTTCTTCTTCCCCGTGTCTTCCTCTCAACAGATGGATTTTCCCTTCGACCTTATACAAGGGAGCTTCAAAAAGTTCGTGGAAAAATGGAATTAAAAGACAATGGAATTTTCCATTAACTTTTAGAAGCCCCCTGATTTGCTTCCAGCTTTTACTCTCTTACTTCATTTAGGCTAATGGCGCCTTACTGCCTGTAGTTTAATGTCCCAAATCCCTAATCTACAAAAGTTCGTCTTTATGATGTGTTCCCTATCATTTCTCAGAATCCATTTTCTGGTACATCCAAATACCCTCTGCCTACAACTATCCAATTTAAATGCCAGCCAAAAGGTGCACCCTTCCATGTGTTCAAGTACCTGGAATACCCTTCCCCAGCTATAATCACATGGAAAACTTTTTATTCTTCAAGATCTAGTGTGTCTCTGTGAATCTTGCAACACCTCAAGCAAAGTAGAAAACTACTTCCTTTCTGCTATTCTATACATGTTTTTGTTACTTCAGTTACCACATAATGTAAATTTATGACTGTTGTCTCTACCAAATTAGGACAGGAATTGATATACAGCAAGTGCTCAATAAATGTTTATTAAAAATTAATAAACACATGAGCTAATACAGTGCATAGTGTTAGAAAAATTTCAAATAAAACAAAAGCCATCATTCTTTGACCTTCAAATGTTGTCACTGATCAAGATTCCCTTGTCTAGGGAGAAATGAGGCTTAACTAAAATAGAATTACACATGGAAAAGAAATGATTCAAGTGCATTTGTGGGTTTAAATCTCTCCTTAAAAGACTGTAGCACTTTTGAAAGGGCAAAGGATCACAGTTGCTGTCTAGTGACATTCATTTTAGAACTATAAACTTGATATGTGACAGAGTATAAAGGAGGAACACAAGCCAGTTGAAATTCAACCTATCTCTGTGAGATATGGTTTTAGATACTAAGAAACACTTCTTTCATCTCAGGCAATATTAAATAATAAAATACTTATAATCAAGGGACTAACCGTCAATATAGTAAAGATCATTCTTAGGCCAGGACAAAAGTGCACGTATACAGTCACCAATAAATTTTTTCTTTTCTTCGTTTAACAAAAATGGACAAAGACTTTGAATGGTATGCAAATTGCCTTCTGTTAGTGGGAAAAAACTGTTTAAAGAAAAGAAAACATCATTACATTTTATCTAAATGCACACTTTTTTATTATTATTACTATTCAGAGTACTCAAAAAGACTAATTACTCTACTACACAAAATGAATACTTAAAAAAAACCAAAAAAATAATGACAATAGACTAACAATTGCTGATTCTGAATGATGAAATTGTGGATAACTGCCCCCTCCTTCCCTTTCCTGTAGGTTTCTAATTTTTTTTAAAAGCATATGTAACTTTTCTCCATAAATACTTTTTTAACATATGTGCTCGTGCACTTTAAGATTCGTTTTAAATAGCACTACCTTTCCTGGCACTGTAGGATAAGCACTGGATTGCGTTAATCACAAGGTCAGTGATTCAAAAACCCACCAGCCACTCTTCAGATACCCTATGTTGTTGTTGTTAAGTACCGTGGAGTAGGTTCCAACTCATAGTGACCCTGCACAGGGTTTCCGAGGCTGCAAAGCTTTACAGGAGCAGAAAGCCTCATCTTTCTCCCACAGAACAGCTGATAGTTTTGAACTCCCGACCTTGAGGTTAGCAGCCCGATTCGTAACGACTACGCTATCAGAAACCCTATACAGGGTTGTTATTAGTCAGAACTGCCTCGATGACACTTAACAATGAAAACCCTTTCTGTGCACTGATATTCACATATGTGTATATGTACATATATTGCTGTTGATGTTGGGAAACATTGAGCAGATTTCGACTCATAGAACTATTCCATAAAGTTTCCTAGACTGTGATCTTAATGGAAACAGTTCACCAGGTAGGTCTTTCCTCCTCCAGCTCCACTGACTGGGTTTGAACTGCCAACCTTTTTGGTTAGCAGCCTAGTATAGTACTTAATCATTGTGCCAAAAGAAGCACAAATTTAGTTGGGTTTTCTTTACATAAAGAGGCTCACACAAAACATACTGTCCTATTTTGTGACACTAAACAAAAATAAACTCTAGATCTTTCCATGGCAGGACATACAGATTCATATCATTATATCTTAAAGTTAACAAACAAGGGGGGAGACAGAGGAGAACAGCTACACAGCAACTCATACTATGAAAATATCACAATTTAACCAATTCTCTATTAGCCAACATCTACGGTTTTTCCAAATGTTTGCTCCTACAAATAATGCTATAAATGTCCTTAATTGATATCCTGCACATGTTAAAATATCTCTTAAAAAAAAAAAAAAAAATGCCTTCAGGCTAGATTCTTAAATGTGGAATTGCATAAGCATAGGATTTGAATGTACCAACATACTTGACATACATGATGGTACAAATGGTTAGCGCTCAACAAATAACCCAAAACTTAGCAGTTTAAAACCCCCATCATCAAGGTGCCTTGGAAGAGAAGCATGGTGTTCTTATTCTAAAAGGTCAGCAGAGCCTTGAAACCCCATGAAGCAGTTCTACCTTACACAAATGGAGTCGGACTAAGTCAATGGCCACTGTTAACAAGAACATACTTCAAATAGCTTTCTGAAAAAGCATAATCAATTTGTACTTTAACCAAAAAAAAAGTGAGCTTTTTCCATTCTTGGAAATATGGTGGCTAAAACCTATTTCTTTTCATTTGTATTTGTCATTGTTGCTTCTGTTGGGTGCCATGCAGTCATTTCTGACTCATAGTGACCCTATACAAAACAGAAGAAAACACTGTTCAGCACCATCCTCACAATGGTTGTTATACTTTGTCCATGACGACAGTCACTGTTTCCAATCCAACTTCCTCCTTTTTGCTGACCCTCTATCAAGCATAATGTCCCTTTTCAGGGACGAGTCCTTACTGATAACATGTCCACCAAAATATGTGACAAGAAGTCTCACCATCCTCACTTCTAAGGAGGACTTTGGCTGTAGTTATTCCAGGACAGATTTGTTTGTTCTGGGGCAATTCATAGTACTTACCAATACCATAATTAAAATGCATTAATTCTATATCAGTTTTCTTTATTCCCTGTCCAGCTTTCACTTGCATATGAGGTGACTGAAAATGCCATGGCTTGGGTCAGTCACACTTCAGTCCTCAAAGTGACATCTATGCTCTGTAACACTTTAACAGATTTGCTCAATGCAATGCACTGCTTTTGATTCTTGATGCTGCTTCCTTGAATGTTGACTTTGGATCCAAATAAAATGAAATCCTTTACAACTTCAGTCTTTTCTCCATTTACCATGATGTCTCTCGGTCCAATTGTGAGGATTTGTGTTTTCTTTGAGTTAAATGTTCCACATTTTATAACTGAATTATCTAGTCATATCCTTTGACTATTTTACCTATAAATTCCATTCACATCTGTCATGAATTGAATAACTAATGTGACCCCCCAAAATATGTGTCAACTTGGATATTTCAGGATTCCTTGTGGTTTTTCTTTCATTTTGAGAATTGGTATAATTGTCCTATGTGCTGTAAATGAGGCAAGATGAGGTTAACATTAAGGAAGATTAGATTATGTGTGCTATGTTAGTAAGGCAGGATTATGGTGGGATGCAATACCAATAAGGATCTATTTCTTTGGGGAAAAGACAAAAGGAGAGACAAGCCAGCAGAGAGGGGACCTCAGTACCACCAAAACAAAAAGCCAGGAGCAAAAGTACATCCTTTGAATCCAAGATCCCTGTGCTGAGATACTCCAAGGCTCAGGGGAAGATTGACTGACTATGACCTTCTCCCAGAACTTACAGAGAAAAAAAACAAGTCTCCCATGTTCTAAACTCAGACTTCTAGCCATCTAAGCTGTGAGAAAATAAATTTCTGTTTGTTAGTCATTCACTTGTATTTCTATTGTAACTGCACTAAATAATGAAGACAATACCCATGACACATTTTTCCAATTTAGATGTTTTTACTGATTTACAGAAGCTATTTGTACATTCCAGATATTAATTCGTTGTTTATATTTTCTCCCATTTTGTCTCTCTTAACTTTAGTTTATGATACTTTTTCCATAAAAAAGTTTTCATTTTTATAGTCAAACATCTAGCTTTACTTTTATGGAGTCAGGATGTTATACTCTGCTTAAACAGAAGTTCCTCTGGCCAAGCTTATCCATCTTTTATTTATCTCCGGATGTAATACTATGGAATGCAAGGTCAGTTTGAATCACAAGGTCGGTGGTTCAAATTCACCAAACACTCCTCAGAAACCCTATACAGGTTCACTATGAGTCATAACTGATTCCACAGCACTTAACAACAACACCACTTACATAGATTCCTGGTGTGGCACTGCAGGATCAGCACTAGACTGCATACCACAGATCAGCAGTTCAAACACCAGCTGCTCCTCAGAAAACCCATACAGGGTCATTATAAGTCAGAACTGACTGGAAGGCACTAACAACATTTATATAGATTTGTTCTTTACATGTACTTCATTATATGGACTTTAGTTTTAAGAGTAATTTAAAGGAGGGGTTTCTTCCTTGCAATGCCAATTGTTTAAAATAAGTATAAAATTCTTCATTTTTTTCCTCATTTAATTTCTACATTTCTAAACACAATAATCTTGATTTATTACAGTGTTCTTCTGTTAGGAGTTACCAATTAGACAAAATAACAAAGAAAAACCATTTAAAAAACATACCAGTTTTCTTCTCTCCTATACTGATGTTTTACGTCCTCAGGTGTAATGCTTCGAGAACAGATCAACTTACCAATAATAAGAGACCAAAGGGTACCGCTTTCTTTAGATCTAAAAATGAAAAAACAAACACGTATTTTCTACTTTAAAAATATACTTAATAAGATGTTTAAACATTGGTGTATCTGGATTCCTGAGAATTAGTTAAATCACCGAGTGAGAGCATCAATTCACCTAGGATATCTATACCAAAGCATCTGCCATTAGCCAAAAGAGTTGGGAGTTTAGGCTTTTGATATTATTTCACAATTTGCATTGAGCTCTCACTCCAACAGATTTCCATAGCCCTCAAGTCCCAACAGGGGAGATGATGACCTTAAAGAAGTCCAGCAGCTAGAGCTGGGAAAGGATACACCCCATAGGACATCTAGGCTGGTTGAAGTTGAAGAACCCAGAAGATACTAATATGCTTTTGGAAAGTTGTGAGTGTCAGATACATGGGGTGGGACTGGAGAAGACTTGTTCAACCTGGGTCCTCTGATAATGCAAATTATAGTAAAAATGTTACAGGCAAGTGGTAAATTCTTTAATTAAAAAGAAAGAATTTCAACATAGTAATTTCATGAAGTTAATTGCTAGGCACTGTAGTTGATAAGCACTTGACTGTGAATCACAGGTGGGCAGTTAAAACCCACCAGCTGCTCCTTGGAAACCCAATGCTAGGCAGCTATGAGTTGAAACCAACTTGACACTTAACAACAACTGCTAGGAAGTAAGGCCTAGGATTTACTTCTGAAAATCAGCCACTGAATACTCAGTGTATCACAATGGTCTGATCCTGTTGTGTATGGTCTCACCATGAGTCGGGGACTGACTTGAAAGCAGCTAACAATACCATGGAAATAAAACAAATTGGGGGTAGGGGAGTGCACTGCTATGACCTCATTAGAACTTCATATTCTTATGTACTTTGTCATCCAAGAGAACAGGTTTCGTATTTAAAATATTAAGACACACCTCTTGGTGTGGCACTGTAGGATCAGCACTGAACTGTGAACCACAAGGTTGGCAGTTCAAACTCACCAACCTTGGAAACTTCCTTTTACAGGTTGGCTATGAGTTGGAATCAACTCAATGGCACATAACAACAACAACAACAAAACAACATGTAAGACTGAATTTTAGAGTAGTGGGAAGATGGGTTACAGACAACAAATTAAAACAACTTCCATATATATCTATTTGCAGAGTGTTCCGGTTTTGGCGGCAGCAGAGACAGCCAGGTAGGAAAGGCTCCATGGGGGAAGGATTGAAAACCCAGAGAAGCTGTGCTCATGGAACAACACCAGAGCTCTGGATCTAGCATAAAGTCCAGGGTGTCAGTTTCCTGCACACGCAAGTGGAAAAATCACAATATAAAGGAAAATACTGCAAGTTAGGAATCCCTCAAGATGGACACCCTCTGCAGCCACCCTGCCCGGGCGGAGTTCTGAGGGTGGGGCTACAGTCAGACCTGCACAATGAACCGGCACTAAAAGCAGGGCAGTGACATTTGCAAAAGGAGGTGCGGGGGATTATACACATTTTTATCTCCTCTTCCCTGTCATGCCTTCTTTGCCCAGCCAGACACCCTCAGGCAGGTGAGTGTGCACCCCCCAAAAAAAGTTCAGTGCTGACCCCACAGTTTTCCCATGGCACAGAGAAAAAGAACTTGGCGGCTGCTTATGATGTCAGCCTTAGGGTCGCAGCCCTAAAATTAACTTGTGCAGGACCCTTTACTCTGGCCTTTCTAGCCAGAAAAAAGCAGGCCCATCAGGCCTGACAGACAAACCATATGAACAATCTATGAAACCCCAACATGAAAGGATGCAACTATCTTGAGAATCATGCTGTGCACAAGCAGCTAACTAACTGACCTTCAGACAAAAATAGTAAACAATCTTTCTCCCCATTAACTTCTCAATATCTATCTGTGCACCTCTACGTTGGTGACTAGAAGAGAAGCCTGAGCAAGGGGACACCCCCACCCACTGCTGGAGGCTTCTACGGTACACACACACACTGCCTGTGTAGCAAGGCGTCTGGACAGTCAGCCATAGTTTTATTTTTGTTTCAAAGTGCTAATTTTTCTCTCAGCTTTTATTATATTGCTTCTGCTTTTGATCTTTTTGAGCACATATTTTTCCTTGAGATGGGAGCTTTTACTCCCTACATTACCCAAGAAGAGACAGCAATCGTGGCCATATAGCCAAGCTACAAGCATACCCCAGACTATTCCACCACTGAGACAAAAGGCAGTAACAGCTGCTAAGCATTACATGTGAAAAGGGAAGCCTATATCCTTATCATATCCACCAGAAGACACCCAGTAAGCTTAATAACACAAAAACATCCACTTAAGCTTTAAAAAACCCACATAACTATTGGAAATGACAAACAAAACACAACAAAAGATCTCAAAACATGTCCAAAAAACAGAAAAGAGTACCTGAGACAAATGAGTTGGAGACAGACAAAGGTTCCCCAGAAGAGGAAGAGCAGGTTTTGGAACTGCCTGAGAAGGAATTCAGAAGAATGATATGGAAACAAATTCAAATGCTCCGAAAAGGGATGGAGGAAAGTAAGGAAGAAGTCAGGAAAATACTACAAGAGCAATTAAACAAGATTGATACAGCATTAGAAACAACTCAAAACCTGCAAAAAGAGGTCCAGATGATTAATAATAAAATATCAGAAAAGGACAACACACTGAAAGGGAAAAGGAGCAGAATTGAAGAGGTGGAAGTCAGAACTAGCAAGCTGGAAGACAAATCTCTCAATAATGCTAAGACAGAAGACGCAAGCTGAAAAAAGGATAAAAAAATCTGAAGAGAGTCTAAGATTCATGCTGGATAACATGAAGAGGAACAACTTAAGAATTATTGGCATTCCGAAACAAGAAGAATCAAAGAAGTCCACACAGGAGATAGCTGAAGAGCTTCTGGAAGAAAATTTTCCCTGACATCTTGAAAGATGAGGAGATAAACATTCAAGAAGCTGAACGTACCACAGAAAGGATAGAGCACAAAAGAAAGTCACCAAGACATATAATAATCAAACTGTCCAAAATCAAAGACAAGGAGAGAATTCTAAAAGCGGCCAGGGAGAAGAGAAGTGTCACTTACAAAGGCAAGCAAATCAGATTAAGCTCTGACTTCTCAGCAGAAACCATGCAGGCAAAAAGGCAATGGGGAGACACATACAAAACCCTAAAAGAAAAAAACTGCCAACCAAGAATCGTCTAATACAGGAAAACTATCAAATACGATGATGCAATCAAAACATTCCAGGATAAACAGAAGCTAAGATTTTGTCAAAACCAACCCAGCAATTCAAAACATTCCAAAGGGAGTTCTTTGGACTGAAAAGCAACAAGAACAGACAACAACCAGAGATTGACAGGTGTGGCAACATCACCTGGAACTCAGTCGACAGATAGCACAGTTCAGAACAGAACAAAACTACAACAATGAATTCAAAGGATCTGGGAGGTCAACCGAAGATCAAAATAATATCAATGTCAAAGAAGGGAATAACGTAGGAACAGAGATCCAGGTGGTGAGGATGTCAGGTAGATTACAGGATACAATTGTTTCTCTTAAATGGAGAGAAAAGTTAATAAACTATAAATTAACCCCAAAGACAGTTAATACTTCACAACTTACCACAAAAATGAACTTTCAAGCAAAACAAGCAAACATGAAAACTAAGACAAAACCGACAAAAAGTAGCATAAAAAACACAAACTCAGCACAAGAAGGCACGCAGAATAAAGGAACGAACAGCACTACCAAAAAATTAATATAATGGGAGCAATTAATTCATTGTTGTTGTTAAGTGCCGTCAAGTCGATTCCAACCCATAGCGACCCTGTATAGGATTCCCAAGGAGCAGCTGGTGAGCTTGAACTGCCAACCTTGCAGTTCAAATGACTTTGCAGTCTGAAGCATTAGCCCACAGCGCCACACCAGGACTTTATCGACAATTACATTGAATGTCAAAGGACTGAATGCACCAGTGAAGAGACAGAGAGTGGCAGATTGCATAAGAAAACGAGACCCTTCAATATGCTGCCTGCAAGACACACCTTACACACAAAGACAAAGATGGACTAAAAGTAAACGGATGGAAAAAATATACCAAGCTAACTGCAACAATAAACAAGCAAGAGTGGCAATTCTAATCTCTGATAAAGTAAACTTTAAGACAAAAACCAGCATAATAGATAAAGAAGGACACTATCTCATGATCAAATAGTCAATTGAGCAAGAGGACAAAACAATAATAAATATCTACACTCCCAATGAAAAAGCACCAAGATATATGAAGCAAACCTTACTTGAACTGAAGAAAGAAATCTAGAATTATAGTGAGAGATTTTAGCGCACCACTTTCGAAAAGGAACACAACAACCAGAATGAAACTTGACAAAGTTACAGAGGAACTAAACAGAACAATCAACCAACTTGACCTTATAGATGTGCACAGAGCATCAAACCGAACAACAACACAATATACTTTCTCCAGTGTACGTGGAACATTTTCAGAATTTACCATGTGTTAGGACACAAAGCAAGCCTCTATATACATTTACAAACATCAAAATACTACAGAGCATCTCCTCAGACCACCATGCTATAAAACTAGAAATCAACAAGAAAACTAAGGAATTATAAAGTCAAATACATGGAAACTGAACAACATCCTGCTGAAAAGCAACTGGGAAAACAAGAAATTAAATGTGAATTCATAAAGTTCCTAGAAACAAACAAGAAATGAAAACACAACATACCAAAATCTTTGGGACACAGCGAAAGCGGTGCTGAGAGGACAACTTATTG